GAAGAAGAAGAAGATGATCAATAAAATTAATTGTAAAGGATTCCATATATTTATAATAATGGTTAAGAACATTTTGAAATCTAACATCTTGACTCTGAAGATGACTTCTGCTCAGGTTGTCGAAACGTCAGTCACCAACAAGTTCTCTTCAGAGTCAGCCTCACTACGATCATGTTACAAACTAACATTTTGAGCCTGCCAATGAGCTATTTTTGTCCGAGTTTCACACACAGCTTTTACAGGAAAAGGACAAAGGAAGGACAATTTATATTAGCAAGGACAACAATTTGATGATGGTCGCTAGTGGACAGGGTCATGTATTCTATTCTTGACAAAAAACCCACAATAATGAAAACAAACGCTAGCAACTAAAGTGAGGTTAACTGTATCTGGTGGAAAGCACTGTCCATTGTTTGGAATGTGGTTGTGGTATGGAACTTGCAGAATACCAATGTGATCTTGTTAGGATGTACTTAGATCAAATAATATGAGAGTCAATGTTACATCTGATTTCTAAACACAGAGAAGAGAGATGAAAATATTTTTTTAAAATACATTTCCAAACATCTTGAAGGTCACCAAAGATACTCTGCTGCGCATCATATTTTTAACTCTCTTCTCGGCGTTTGTAAATGCGATGAAACATTGTCGGTTGCGTTTGATAAAATTACCTGAAACACTGTCTTGAGTGTTTATAATATCTTTTCAAGTGAAACTATGTAAAAGTAAGCTGTAGGTGGAGAATGTGATTATAAAAATCTATGCAAAATCTTGTTAATAGGATTGAAGAAATTTTAGTCAAGGAATATAATTTGTGGCATCTGACACATTTGTTTAATCAACTCACCAGTTATAGTAGAGTAATGCTGAACATGCTGCAATGAAAGGCATCATGAAGTATGCAGAGAATAGATGAGCCTGCCAGCAACATGTTCCTTGCAGCTCAATAAAGTTAAACACCAGGATAGAGACGGCAATGATTAATGACTGTCCTGCTTCAACACCATTGATCCCTGACAAAATATTGATTGCATTTGTGCAGAACACGGCCAACATCCCCATGTAAACATAATAAAGTATTCCTGATGAAAAAGAAAAGAAAGAAATAGAAATAAAATAAAATAAT